TGAGATGGATCGGAACCTTATCAGGGTCGAGGCGATGAGCGCGGAGTGGGTGGGGAAGTTGACCGAGTTGGAGAGAAAAGTTGCCGGTTAGGAAAATATCGAGAGTGCTTGGTCATCAACTTTGGCGAGGGCGGCGGCTTTGGAGAACACCATCCGCGTTCTCCAATCCGAGCAGGAATCGGAGAGGGCGACGACCGCGCTAATGGAAGCGAGGCTTGAGGAGCGTGTCGGTGAGATCGACCGAGAGGCATCGACCCTAGGGGACCGGGTCGCTACTCTTGAGGCCGAGAAGGAGTAATTGTTGGCTCAAGTCGAATCCTCCTCCGTCGTTGTTCCTCGTTCATTTACACGAGCTTTGGGTTCATGCTGAATCCCAGCGGGACATCTATAAGAGTTTGTGGAGGGCGGGCAATGTTACTGAGGCCGCATATGAAGGAGCACGGGCGAAGGCACGGGAGGCTCGTGTTAACTGTGAATATGACTCTGCCACGCTGGAAGCTGATGAGGGCGCGGGTGATGAGGAAGGATCCGCTGGAGATGGTGCCGAGTGAAAGAACTGCTATCGTTGTTTTTTTTGTTTATTGTTTTTTCCTTGGACTCCGTTGGTTTTAGCTGTAGGTAATTTGCGGCTGTTTGCGCAGTAGCTTTGTTGACGGAGAATTTTTCATTGTTACATGTCTTCTCTACTCCTTTTCCTGTTTTGCTCTTCGTCATTTTGATGCAAAGTAGATTTTCACGTGCTGACTTCCCGCTTCTTAGAGGACTTCGAGGTCACTGGGGTTGAGTAGAGCCTTGATGATGGCTTTAGCCGATGGGACGGTGCTTCTCCCCTTGTGTCGAGGTGCTAATCCATTAAAGTCTGAATGGTATCTGATTCTTTTTCTAATGGCGCCCTTAGCCGGAGGGATTTTATTTTCGAGCTTATGTCGAAGTATTATCCCGTCACGAGTCCCAATTTTCTTCGTCGAAATATTAACCCGTCGTTGTTCGATCAAGGTCGAACTCTTCTTTTTGGTGAAGGCCCTTGGCCTTAAGGGTGTTATTTTGAACTTTCATCAAAATATTAACCCGTCGTTGTTCGATCGAGGTCGAACTCTTTTTTTTGGCAAAGGCCCTTGGCCTTAAGGGTGCTATTTCGAACTTTCGTCGAAATATTAACCCGTCGTTGTTCGATCGAGGTCAAACTCTTCTTTTTAGCGGAGGCCCTTGGCCTTAAGGGTGTTCTTCAAACTTTCGTCGAAATATTAACTCGTCGTTGTTCGATCGAAGTCGAACTTTTCTTTTTGGCGGAGGCCCTTGGCCTTAAGGGTGTTATTTCGAACTTTCGTTGAAATATTAACCCGTCGTTGTTCGATCGAGGTCGAACTCTTCTTTTTGACAAAGGCCCTTGGCCTTAAGGGTGTTATTCGAACTTTCGTCGAAATATTAACCCGTTGTTGTTCGATCGAGGTCAAATTCTTCTATTTGGCGAAGGCCCTTGGCGTTAAGGGTATTATTTCAAACTTTCATCGAAATATTAACCCGTCGTTGTTCGATCGAGGTCGAACTCTTCTTTTTGGCGGAGGCCCTTGGCCTTAAGGGTGTTATTTCAAACTTTCGTCGAAATATTAACCCGTCGTTGTTCGATCGAGGTCGAACTCTTCTTTTTGGCGAAGGCCCTTGGCCTTAAGGGTGTTATTTCGATCTTTCATTGAAATATTACCCCTTAATTGTTCAATCGAGGTCGAACTCTTCTTTTTGGCGAAGCCCGTAGGCCTTAAGGGTGTTATTTCGAGCTTTCGTCGAAATATTAACTCGTCATTGTTCGATCGAGGTCGAACTCTTCTTTTTGGCAAAGACCCTTGGCCTTAAGGGTGTTATTTCGAACTTTCGTTGAAATATTATCCCGTCATTGTTCGATCGAGGTCGAACTCTTGTTTTTGGCGAAGACTCTTGGCCTTAAGGGTGTCATTTCGAGCTCTCGTCGAAATATTAACCCGTCGTAGTTCGATCGAGGTCGAACTCTTCTTTTTGGCGGAGGCCCTTGGACTTAAGGGTGTTATTTCGAACTTTCGTTGAAATATTAACCCGTCGTTGTTCGATCGATGTCGAACTCTTCTTTTTGGCGAAGGCACTTCGCCTTAAGGGTGTTATTTTGAGCTTTCGTCAAAATATTAACCCGTCGTTTTCCGATCGAGGTCGAACTCTTGTTTTTGGCGAAGGCTCTTGGCCTTAAGGGTGTCATTTCGAGCTCTCGTCGAAATATTAACCCGTCGTTGTTTAATCGAGGTCGGACTCTTCTTTTTGGTGAAGGCCCTTGGCCTTAAGGGTGTTATTTCGAACTTTCATCGAAATATTAACCCGTCGTTGTTCGATCGAGGTCGAACTCTTCTTTTTGGCGAAGGCCCTTGGCCTTAAGGGTGCTATTCGAACTTTCGTCGAAATATTAACCCGTTGTTGTTCGATCGAGGTCAAATTCTTCTATTTGGCGAAGGCCCTTGGCGTTAAGGGTATTATTTCAAACTTTCATCGAAATTTAAGGGTGTTATTTCAAACTTTCGTCGAAATATTAACCCGTCGTTGTTCGATCGAGGTCGAACTCTTCTTTTTGGCGAAGGCCCTTGGCCTTAAGGGTGTTATTTCGAACTTTCGTTGAAATGTTAACCCGTCATTGTTCGATCGAGGTCGAACTCTTCTTTTTGGCGAAGGCCCTCGACCTTAAGGGTGTTATTTCGAACTTTCGTCGAAATATTAACCCGTCGTTGTTCGATCGATGTCGAACTCTTCTTTTTGGCGAAGGCCCTTGGCCTTAAGGGTGCTATTTCTAACTTTCGTCGAAATATTAACCCGTCATTGTTTGATCGAGGTCGAACTCTTCTTTTTCGCGGAGGGCTTTGGCCTTAAGGGTGTTATTTTGAACTTTCGTTGAAATATTAACCCGTCGTTGTTCGATCGAGGTCGAACTCTTCTTTTTGGTGGAGGCCCTTGGCCTTAAGGATGTTATCTCAAACTTTTGTCGAATTATTAACCCGTCATTAGTCCCGGTTTTTCGGAGGGGTATTTTCAGGTGGAGTCCAATTTGCGTGATTTTGTTTGCGTCGGGGGTGTGATATCGGAGATCAGGAAACGCTGCTGTTTTGCTCACACTCGTTTCTCACACATATTGGAGTTTTCTTGTTTAACCTTTTCGCTTTCCGGTCTTGAGATATCATTAGTGGATGGGACGATGAATTACGCTTTGACCTCGGGGGGTTCTCCCTCATCGGCCCGATCTTTAAGTCCCCAGGAAGGCTTTCTTGGGACACCTTTTTGGTGAGGGAGAAGAAGTATCATTTGAAGGGTATCACTCCCTAGGCGTTGGGTTTGTCTGGCGGATGATTTTGGTAGTTCCGTAATAATTTCCCATTCTTCAGTTGGGGCGTTTCTTTGCTCGCTCGTCCGTGCTGCGCTTGCGTTCTTTTTTGAGCAACCAGTAGAAGGTAGGTAGGATGATATTCTCCTTATCCTGATATGATGAATTGGTGAACGAAGGTGGACCAGCGGCATTACTCGCTCTGCTTGGTGCTTCGATGGTTGACGGGGTTGGTGTTTTCTGAGTTTGGTAACCGTATTCAGCTCTCTTTCCCTTCTTTTTTGTGCCTTTGTCCTGTGCGGGCTAGGCTTGTTTTGACTGGTTCATGGGCTGCCCGACATGCGGGGGATGATGTTGGTTGCAACTTTTGTTTGTATATAGCATCATGATCCAGATTGGGGTGTGAGATTTACTTACCGCTCCTCTCGGTGGGTGATCATGTTTCCGGTTTTTGATCTGGAGGAGATTAGGAAGTTTTCACTAAGAAATCCCCACAGACGGCGCCAAATTGTTTGACCAAAAGTTATCGAGATCTTTTTGGTTAAATCAATCAGAAAAGATGAAGAGGTAAATCTTAGTCAAACATAATAACCTCCAGATCCATAAACAAATCAAAAAATAATGCGTAAGATGAAATAAGAGCGATCAATCTTATTGATATTCTTCATTTCTTCTTTTGTTAATCAATGGAGATGAATGTTTTTGATCCTCCATGGAAGATGACTTTGTCTTCTTTTTGTTAAGAAGATTACAGAGGAGAGGGAAGAGAGAGAAAAAAGCCCCCCCCCCCCCCTTTAATGGAAGATTTCCTCCCTATATATAGTTATGAAATCCTCACTATGTACTCGGATCAATACACTTTTACACCGTGTACGCTTTCGTCGTTCCCTGAGTATCGTTCCTTGTCATGGCGGGGATTGTGAGTGCGGGGTTTTGGAGCAAACCATGTCGTCTTCCACTGTCTCGTTGTTTGGACGGGATCTCGGTTAGGCCGACCGCAGCGGTCAGATTTTGACCAATATAGTATTTTTTATATTCACTTATGGTTCAATAAATTAAACATCAATCAATAAAAGTAAACACATTAACAACTTGTTTGGATGGTTGTTATGTATCGTTTCATAATGTATCGTATGGTATTGTATTGTATTATATTATATTGTATTGTATCGTATTGATGTATGTGTTTGGATAGATTGTATTGTTTGCTGTCGTTTCATGATGTCATGCACCAACAATATGAAGAAATTGCAATATAATAAAGAAAAAATAAGTTACGAGGTAGAATTATTATATAAAATGGTAGAGTAAAGAATAAAATAAGATTATTTAATAATACATAGGGCAAGATGAGAAAAGGATAAGATAACGACGCGACCACACCAAATCGGTCGTTCCATAAAATGATATTTTTCGTCGTTACGTAACGATAAATTTAATAATACAAAATACATATTGTATTTAAAGTAACAATCCCATACAATGCAAACAAATAACAACCATCCAAACAAGCTGTAAATAATCCTATTTTTTGTCAATTATGTCATTAAAATTTCCATATTGATAAATCGAGGAAGCATATGGGCCAAGAAATGTAGATGAGCCCAGCCCAAACAATTTCTGTGGATTGTAACCGTAAACCGCCACCCGCACCGCCAAACTTTAGCTCTGAATTCTGATAAATTGCCCGAAGCCCTTTTCCTTCATCGAGTCATCCGCATCCTCTCCAAAAGTGAGATCTACTTCCTTCCTTATCTAAGTGTGCTTTTCCCCAATTGCCTTGCAATTTCTCGTATCTCATGGCCCGTTCCATTGCTCAAGCCCTAAATCTGATCCGAACCACCACCGCCCCATCCACAGCCAGCCGCCGCGATGCTGTTCGCCTCGTAGCTTGTAGGTGCGAATCCACTCAGCCGGACAGACACGTGGCATCTGACACATCGGAGGCGGAGGCTGTGGCGGTGCAGAGGATCGAGGACGCTATTCATCGTATCATAGTACGGAGATCGGCTCCCGATTGGCTTCCTTTCTGTCCTGGTGCTTCTTACTGGGTCCCACCTCGACGCAGCTCCTATGGTGTAGCTGACCTCGTTCATAAGCTATCTAATACGCTTTCCGAAGAGGAAACTATGTCTCTTGCTACATTCCGCGGCTGGCCTTCCTCTACTTTTTATCTTAATAATGGTACTTAATTATTTTGCTTTCCTCCGTGTTTCATAATTTATATTTTGATGAATTGTTCTAGCAAAGCCTTGCATTAATAGCAACAATTGCATATATCGCCGGCTTTTATACCTGATTACATCGATCTGGAATTCGACAAATCTAGATGGTAGGAACAGATAACTCAGTCTTTTTATTTATTTATTTTAATTAATGGGGAAGGATATGTGCATTCGTGAAAGGAGAACTAAATATATTTTCTCCTATTTATTGAAGTTTTGCAAGTATTGCAGGATTGATGAGAACCTATACTAGACTTTTGTGCAGGTTCAAACCTGTGACGTGCACCTATATCATGTGTTGCGCTCACCTATATCATGTGTTGTCCTCTTACTACTAGACCAAAGCCATGGGGCTCAAATTGGATGTACACATTACTTTAGCTAATAAGTAATGTAAAATTCCTTTCTTCTTTTCTTCCTTATTAAGTAAATGGCCCAATACATCTCTAAAAAGATTAGACTTTCCTATTAGTACCTGCTGTGAGAGTGAGCAATCTGATACATTCCACTTAAAATAATGAAGTGACATTGCTTACCAAAAGATATGATATAATATTTCATTTCTCATGTTTCTTTTGTGGAAATTTGTTTTAACCTTGCTTATTCGATGTCTGTGGTTAATTTATTCATGACAATGTAAGCATAAGGCAATGGTTGTCTATCTCGAATGTTCAAAATTTTTGCAAGTGTTATCTTCATGAACTTAGGGACTCTTGTACATTCAAGTATTATTTTTGTTACAGTTGGGGATCGTTTGCTCATGTATGCTCTCTCATTGTCTCTGTTTTTCTTTTTTCTTCGCTGTGACAGAGAATGCCGTGACAGAGAATGATAGTATGTCCAAAAAGGTGAACCAGTCTGACAAAGAGGAAAATTAACTGCAAGCATGAATGGTTAAAGTAACTGCTTCTCCACCACTGTTGTTAAGGTTGGTGAGAACTTTTTAGAGATATTGTCAAAATTGCCTTATACAAATTCTAGCCCTTCATATTGGTGTGTGTGTATGTGTGTGTGTGTGTGTGTGTGTGTGTGTGTGTGTGTGTGTTACACTTTGTAATGCATCTTGTTATCTTTTGCTGAACTCAATCTTGATTCAATTAATAGTCCTACACGCAGTTGTGTTCCACAAACTTGCCTTATGCCTCTATTGTGAGTTTTAAGGTGGAGCGGCCTCTGAAGTTGCAGTTGCTTTTGAAAAAAGCCTTTTAAGTGTTTCTTGTTGTGTTTGCAGGCCTAAAATTCATGTACATATGTTTGTGTAGCTGGACAGAGTAATGAGGAAGCATTTCCAACTTTTGGAATTTGTACATACACAAGCTTCCTCGCCATATTTCTGTTATACTAGCAGAGCTGCAAGTCTAGTTGAATGTACATACTTCTTAGCTTGTCGAAAAAATTTCTTTAATTTGCACCTTTCCTAATTTCCCTTGTTTATGATGATGGGTAGAACTGAATGCAAGCTAGCCCTCTTGCTATATGCCCTAATCAGTGTAATGTTATTGGTAGTTGTAAATGCTAGAAATAAATTTTGGCTGTCCACAATTTGCTTGTGCTTGCCTTCCCATACTTGGGCGATAGCCAAGAAGCTAAATCGTTTAATTTGTAAGAGAAAAGTAACCTAAAGTTTAATCAGCATTTTTGAGTGTCTGGCTTGGTGTTCTCCAAATGTTGAGCCAGTGTGGATGGAGACTAGGGATATTGGACCGTTTTTTTAATGTGTTACCGATTGCTGCCGCTAGCAATCTGAAATTAAACGAATGTGTTAACCTGAAGACTTAATGCAAGGTTCTCTTATACTCCTGTACTTAGAAAATGTACTTAAACGAAGCTGCAAATGTAGGCTATTCTCATTGATAAAAAAAAACAAGAGAAGCTAACAAAGAGCAGATCCACCGATCTTCTAAGTACAAGGTGATCACTGCGTTTTGTTTAGTTTGCTGGAAGAATTGGTTTTGAGATGCGTGCGTTGGTGAAGTGGTTTTTCATCAGAATGAGTACGAACGAAGTTAGCTTGTACAAGAACTGGTCCAACTCTTCGAAACAGAAAATGTGCTTTTCCAGATCTATCTTCTTAGCTTTTGATCTGTTGTTATTATTTCGTTTGTCGTAGTTTATTGTCATAGCTGCTACTATTTCGTTTGTCGTAGTTTATTGTCATAGCTGCTACTATTTCGTTTGTCGTAGTTTATTGTCATAGCTGCTGTGATTTTGTTACATTGAGTCAGGGTCTTTCGGAAACAAATTCTCTATCTTCACAAGATAGGGTTAAGGACTGCGTACATACTATCCTTCCCACACCCCACTTGTGTGAATATACTGGGTATGTTGTTGTATCTTCTTAGCTTCTGACGATAATCCATTTAACCAAACTTGGTCAATCCATACGGAATGTAACTAAAACTGGAATGTTTATCGAAAAGATCTTTTAGAACATGTTTTCTGTAAAATGAATAATTATAAAATGTAACTCTTATCGTATGTTTGCGAGTACGCTCCTTTCATTTCAGTTGGCACATGAGACATGCGAAGGACTTCCCTTCCTCCTTTTATTAGTATGAAACGAAGAATAAGACCAAGTAACTGTTAAAAAAACTGCTTGAGCCTTCATTTCTTTACCATCAACCTGAATAAACTATTAGCTGTGGCAGCATTTCGCGGCAGCCATTACTGCTTTATCTCGGGGACATGGTATGGCTTCATTCTTGGTAAGACAGGTGGATTACCAGAAATCACTCAAGATAGGAAAACAAAGCAAATCAAATACAAGGACCAGTAAGACTCATATGCCTACAAGCATGGCAGTTCTTCAATTGGATCATATGTTACAGACTCCTATACGATGAATGGGACTCAATCCTGACGAAAACTTTTGCACGTGTTTTTCAAAGAGACTACTGTATCTGTCTATACTTGAAAGGACGTTTTCTGAAACAACAACAACAATAAATCTAGTTTAATCCCACAAGTGGGGCTTCCTGAAATAAAATACTACAGCAATATTTTTTCCCCTTCCGTTGCGCTTAGATTAAATGTGTATTACCAACAAATAATGCGATGTATTCTCCCTGACATGCAGATATAGTTGTCAGTGGTATGGAAATCAAGACTACTTTGATCTCCCGATATTCCACTTTGATTATCATTTTAATTCTCATATCAAAGTATCAAGATATTGCAAGTTCATGATTTCTCATATCATGATTGAACAGTAACCTTTTTTCAATGGACATGTTTAGCAACCTTTAACCATAGCAATTGTGAAGTGCACGGAGGTCAAACAATTCAACCAACTCTATACTTGAATTTGTAAATCAAAATCGAGAACAGCATATCCCAGGCAGGTGCACTCAGAACCTTATTACAAATTATTACGTCTGATAACGCAACAAATAATACATTATACCCAAGTGATAATGCTTAGGTCCATACTTCCATCAGCTTTATTTTTCAGGTCTGATGATAGAGAGGACTGACTAAATAACATTCACCTAGATGACCATGCTACTAAATAAATGTTGTTACACCAACCAAACAAATATAAAATGCCGAGCCAAGCACCTTCCCGTGTTTACTCATCCAATCCTACGATCCAAACGGCCATTTTAATGTGGACAAAAGCATACAACTGATTCAACAAAAACTCTGCTTTGGAGCCAGGCGGATCCCTCCAAGAATTGGAAGACATTTACTAAAGAAATGACTTATCGAGTTTCATCCTCAAGGTTGCGGAAACCAGCAGTCAAATCATCATGAAGCTTCTTGAACTTGCTCACGAGAACATCCTCTCCTTCGGCCGGATCCTCAAACTTTTGGGACCTGCAAAGAATGAAGGTATAAACGGCAAGAGAAAAACAAGAGAGGGGGAGGGGGAACGGAAAGCGGAAGCCCAGACTAGTAACTTTGGAAAAATCTGCATTACCACTTAACAAAGTGCATATTTTTGAGAGATACTTACACCAAACGATAGAACAAATCCCCTAGACGGTGCTTAATGAGAGTGTAGGTAATCTTCTGGCCATCCATACCAGCTCCTCGTTCGACTGCCTGCGCCAAAAAATGACAACCGCAAATGTCACAGGCAAATACCCTGGTACCTCTTATTTATTAATCAAGTAACCGTTCCCTCCCAGAAGTTAGAATCTTATTCATCTCCAAATTATCTTAACTAAAGGCGACAAAATGAAACATGAGGATGAAAATAACAGCATAAAAGTAAGACAATAGAAAAGCATTATCTCTATAAATGACGAACAGGTACTCCAACACAAAACCTACACGCAGCCACAGCCAGACTATCATACCTGATTGGCTAAGCTATAGAAATGGATAATATTGCGCAACATCCAAACAGATTTGTAGAAAGGACAGAACTTGTCATACCTGCAACCAAAGACACAAGAATGTAAGATCATTAACAAGCCCAATTAACAAGCATCCCATGGTAGATTTTTTTTTTTTTTTTTAACACTTACGGAGTAAATGCATTTTGTGCAAGATAGTCCTCCCTCAAAAGCTTTGCAGTTTCCAAAGTGATTTTATCTGTTTCGGCTAAAGCATCCTTCCCAACAAGCTGCAGAAGAAAAGAAAGCAATAATGCAATGACAACTGTATCTATCTTCTGTAGACCACTGACATTTGAGGGGAAAAAGAAAATGGCTGGATGGTAGCAGGGGAATTGAGAAAAAATATTTTGTTTGCCCTCAGGCTAAAAGCTGTTTTAGCACACGCACTGACTGTTAATTGTGTTAGGCAACCCAACAGAAAGGCTAGATCCAAAGAAATGACAACTCCCTAAAGGGACACCTGATACCAGGACAAGGTTGAAGTGATATACCAACAACTGAGCCATCACGTATCTAAGAAACTGGAAACAGTCCTCGCCTTCAAGCAGAATTTCAGAATTAGTTTCCTTTTTTATCTAAGTGTAGCCAGTTTCTCTTTAAGCGAGTACACACGTAGACCTCTTGACGAAATTAGATCATGATTATCCAAAAAAGTTGCTGAGGTCATGAACCCAGGAAGACTCACAAAGATGTTAGACAAAAATTCACAGACCAATATGCACTCGCTGGTTTTCCGTGAAATCTATTTAAGTGGAGCGTATGTCGATGACCTGAGGTAACATATGGAAAACGATAGAAGAAAGGTGAGAAAGAAAGGTTGCCTACTACTAATAAGGGTGGACGAGAAAGAGATATGAGGTGACTAGCTTAGTAACTTTATCCAATTTAAGAGGTTACCTCAGTGCCTTATCTGCCTTAAGTGAAAAGGTACCACTGCAGATGGCAGTGGGAAAGACAGGACCACAAACAAGGTGGCTTATGCTCTTTTCATCCTCAATACCTGGTTTTCACAATTCTTTATTTGACCCCTTCACATAGACAACCCACCTTAATCCGTCCAAATATAAATTCCCTTTCACATAACATAACTTCTAAGTTTGATTTTTCAGGAATATGAACAAGGAAGACTGCAAGCACATAGGCTGTAAATAGTCGTCATAAATAATTTGTCGCTATCAACAATCATCAGTCTAGGACAACTAAAACACATACAACTCGAGAAGAAATGCTAAAAGTAAGAAAAGAAAGCAACATAAGGACATACTTGAACAATTTCATTTAGGTCATCCTCCCTTTGCAGCACCTCACGGGCTTTTGTCCTTATGTCGATAAAATCGGAATCAAACTTCTCATAAAAGGACTCCAAGGCCTGGATATAGAAACTCGAGTCAGCGAGAAGCAGTATGTAACCAATGACTAGAAGAAGCAAAAGGTGGATGATGAGCAAGTTTTGCTGTATAAAGAATATCAACATGAACATTTAAACAACATACCCCTGAATATTTTGAATAGGAAATAAGCCAATTTACAGAAGGAAAGTGTTTCCTCTGTGCCAATTTCTTGTCCAGTCCCCAGAAGACCTGGAAAAGAACAATATTAGAGAAAATCTAAGAGAAACTTCCAATAGTGTAGATCTGTGCTTCTACCGACCTGAACAATACCCAGGGTTGCAGATGTAACAGGATCTGAGAAATCTCCTCCAGGAGGAGAAACAGCACCAACAATTGTCACACTCCCAGTTCTCTCAGGTCCACCAAGACATTTAACTTTACCAGCACGCTCATAGAAAGATGCCAAACGTGCAGCGAGATAAGCAGGATATCCACTGTCTGCAGGCATCTCTGCCTGAAAGGTGTAACGTATGTTACAAGAAGACGACAACAAAAACACTTTGCTCCAGGTTGAGAAGGTAATCTTTTCAACAATACTGTATGACAGGTTTTATACAATCCAAGAAAGCATGGTCTTAGGCGTTTCCCCTTTAGTTAAAAATCGATGCTTACACAAGCAGCAAGCAACATGCATGAAGGAATGTTTGTTAAGAAATGAAACAAGAGAACAGAGCAGCCAAAGAAGAAAGTAATAAAAAGTTTCCTTTTAGTCGCCAGCTCGACTTTGTTGCCCACAAGTTCAAAATAAGATAACCGAGAAACACTACATAATTTCCAAAAATAAAAAACTCCCCAAAAGGGTGAAAATCTAAGGAAATTAATCTTCAATTGATTCCTAACAAGAAAGACAGTGAAAACACACGAATACAAAACTCCGATGAGTCAAAGCCAAAAATGTCCAGCCACACTCCAA